GCTTGCTAGTTGAGAAGAAAATATAAACAGGCACATAAAAATTAGGATGAGCTGTTTACACACAAAAAAAAAAAAAAAAAAAAAAAAAAAAAAAAAATTAAAGAAAAAAAAAACAGAAATATGTTTTGTCTTCTATTTGCGCTTTCTTGAACCATAAGAACGTATATAAAATATCCTTTTCTTATTTGTAGGAAGATTAGCGAAGAAACGAACATTATTGATGGGAAAAGTGCTAACCTCATTGCAGGATTAAAAATGGCATAATGCAAATTAGTTTTCAAGCATTCAAGTGACACAGTTAAAATTCCAGGAAGATGTCACAGCCAAATTAAAATGAGGAATAAAAAGACAATTGCTAAACTAACTTTAGTAGTTTTCTTTCATATTTCATGAATTACATATTCATCTATCTATCTCTTTACCTCTCTCTCTCTCTCTCTATATATATATATATCTGTCTCTTTCTCTCTCTCTCTCTATATATATAGACAAAGAGACAAAAGACAAAGAGAGCGTTTTGAATTGAGCACAAATGTCAGGATCAAAGGGAACTAACTATACTGCAAATCGATGTAATATTTCAAGTTTTTTTTAAAAACGGATGTAAAATTTAAGTAGGCATGCTGAAATAATTAGTTAACTAAGCGGTGCCAGGAAACATTAACTTCTAAGATAAGAAAAGGCTAAATTACATTTCGCCTGCATTTAATTGTGTAAGTTAAAAATTCATTTTAATACGTTAATATATATCATTTCGGGAAGGATAGTTTTTATGATGATTCTTTTAATTTTGAAATACCTGAATAATTTTTATGTACTTTCGAAAAGACTATGATTAGAGCTGTGTTAGATTTAAATCGGTTTGTTTATACTGGGTTATTCTTAATGAGATTTTCATGGTTCTGCCATGCGACATAAGAATTAAAGAAGATAAAATATTGAATAGAAATAATTCTTGTAAATAGTAATATTAATGATGATTCATTAATAGGTAAAAAGGAGGTAAAAATTTGAACATAGCAATTGAAATGTAAATGCGAAATTTTGTGGCACTTATCAAGATGAGAACCTATGTATAACTCAGAGACGTCAAATCGTTAGTATCACTAAATGCAACTGAGTTAGCTGAATTAGTATTTGGACAGCATATGCTAGCACAGACACAACATGCTTAAGAGGATAAAATATGCAGAAGTATTCTGTGTTAATTATAACGGATTCGCAAAGGACCAAAAAAGATGTAGGTTGTATTAGATTAAAACATCAGAATATTAATCTTACATCTGAATTACTTATTGCTGTTAGACATTGTCCTACGTCACGTAATTGAAATGTAAAATTCATTATTGAATAAATTCTGTTCCAACATATTTTATTTAGTCCCTTATACAACATTCGAGACAGCCTTGCTCCCCTCGTGTAAAAAAAGTGATAAAAGATCAAAATCTAATACAATGATGGGAGAAACAGAAAATTTCGATCGAAGGAAAAAAATAATTATAAAAAGTCATTATTTCTTTTTTAATTTTGCGTCATGTATGCTAGCTATGATAATATTGCAGTATGCTTCACCAAGGTGCTGATTAAAATTATTACTAAACGAAAAGGGGAATTTGCCCTAAAAATAAACGATATTGTTACGTAATGACGTCAATAAACTTCAGAAGATATCCACGAGACAGTTTTATGAATAACTTTATTGAATGAACACGAGACTTTTAATGTATTAATGTTTTAATGACGCGAGTTTTATGTATCCTTTTTTTTTTGTAGATGGCATCAGTTTTCGGAGTTGCCATGCACGTTCTAATCCGTGTTTGCTTAGTGATAGAAGTGTTCTATAAATTTAATGTTGATATGAATTGAATTATTATATTGTATTTGTGTTCTGTTTATTGAATAATATCCTAGTTCCTGCTTTACTGTGAAACTGTGAAAATACTTATGTCAAGTGTTAACAAAGTTGTTTATTCGTCAAGAAACATGTGCAGAATTCAAGTAGATAAGATTTATTTCTTTTTCTATAAATATTGAAATTACAGATATTCTAATAGTAGACTCACTGTGTCTAATTATTATTAAGGTTTATATACGTATATTAAGAACCTGTGCAGAACAACGTTGACGGGTAGTCTCGGCGTAGTTCTGATATTTTTGATAATATTTCGTTACAAAGTGGCGTCCGCGACCAGGACGCAGTGAGGTTTTTGTTAGAATTATTTTGTTGAATGGTATTTTGTGAAGTTAAAGCTGGTTTCATTGATCGTTTTATTATGAATCCTTTAACTGCAAAACGCGGAGGATTGCGTTCTTCCTTTACCAAGACTGTTAATGTTTTGAAAAGCGAAATTGGTAAGGATGATTTTTCAGCAGGTATAATTAAAGATAAATTTACAAAGTTGCAAATGTTACAGAAAGATATTGAGGAACTTAACGAGCAGATTTTGAATTCTATAATTTCGACTGATGTAACGCCAGAAAAGGTTAATGATGAAATGGAAAGCTGGGATATTTATAAGGATGAATTCATTACCATTTCTTGCTTAGTTAATGAGAATTTAGGTGCCTTAGAACAGATAAATTTAGAAACTAGATCGCAAGGTACTGTTTCTAGTAATTCACCTCGTAATACTATATCGTTAAAGCTCCCAAAAATAGAGCTTAAGACGTTCGATGGAGAATTATTGAACTGGCTTTCGTTTTGGTCTCAGTTCGAAAAAATACACGAGGACCCTGATTTGCACGAAAGGGACAAATTTCAGTATCTTGTGCAAAGTATGAAACAACGGACGCGCGCTAGAGACTTTATTGACAGTTACCCAATGTCTGCGAAAAATTATTCAAAAGCTATTAGTGCTCTTAAGGAACGTTTTGGGAATCATGATTTATTAATTGAGGTATACGTGAGAGAGCTTGTAAAGTTGATTGTAACGAATGTTAAGACAGGCAGTAGTGAAAAATTACCATTGCCGCAATTATTTGATAAGATTGAAGCACAACTAAGAGCTCTCGAATCCTTAGATATTAAAACGGAAAGCAATGCTTGTTGGTTATATCCCATGGTAGAATCATGCCTCTCGGAGGAAGTCCTCAGAGCCTGGTCAAGAAGCCCGCTTTTTGGAGAAGTAAAGGAAAGTCAGAATATTTCTCGCCTAACTAATTTGATGAAATTTTTTTAGATGCGAAGTGGAAGGGGAGGAAAGACTTAAGTTAGCGCGGAGTGGATTTGAAATTTTGGGGCAAAAGACAAGTATTGCAATAAATCGAAAAGGGAATTAAAAAGCACATTTAAATCGAAACAGTTAACGAATGTCCCTACGGCGGCAGGTTTCCTTACGACGAAAGATAATAACTGTATTTTTTGCGATAAACTACATGATAGTAAGGACTGTTTCGAAGCACGCTCTCTGTCATTAGATGAGAAAAAGAATAAAATTAGGCTTAAGAGGTGTTGCCTAAAGTGCCTTTCGCCTGGACATGTTGCTAAGTCGTGTAAACAGTTTGTACGTTGCTATGTGTGTCGTAAGGCTCACACAGTTTCTCTCTGTCCGGATCTGCAGACACAGAAAACGCAGGAAAAGGCAACAGAGCCATACACCGTTCAGACAACTACGGCGAGACAGATGTGTTCCACTGAGGTAGCTCTCATGACAATTAAAGTCAATGTGTTAGGAAAATCAGGCACGAGAGAAATACGAGCGATTCTCGATTGCGGATCACAAAAATCCTACATTTTGAAGTCTACGGTACAGGAATTAGGACTAATTCCCATTGCCGAGGACACTGTAGCTCACACCCTTTTTGGAGAGGTTAAAATTGAACCGAACGTACATAAAAAGTATCGGATCAAGCTACACTCTCTCAATCCTTATATGAGAAGAGAAATGGAATTTTGTGTTTCCTGGATCAGGGAGCCATATGTGGAAATATATTACGCGAACCTAAGGGCCCTATTTATAAGAACTTAAGTGTAAAACGATATGGCTTTCAGACATAGGAACAGTTTGCCCGAAGATAGAGATGCTAATCGGCAGTGACATTTACGGTTCAATTCTTTCAGGGAAAGTCAAACAGCTCGATGGAGGTTTGACTGCAATTGACACTACATTAGGATGGACTATTTGTGGTCCACTTAAGGAGCATTCCGAACCACAAAGTAGTGGTATATCTACTTTGATTGTAAGTCTGACGTTTCGGGACCTAAACGTATCCGATCTTTGGAACTTAGAGACAATAGGAATTTCAGATTCCAGCAGTAATTCTACAAAGAACGCGGAAGAAGATATTGCTTGGGAACATTTTTTAGGCTCCTTAGGTAAAAATGAAGAGCAAAGTCACGTAGCAGAAAAGCTTCGAAATTCTTTTTATGTCGATAATTGTGTCACGTCTCATGACACAGAGGAAGAGTTGAAAGATTTTAAGAATAAATCAATTGACATTTTGGCAGAAAGCTAAGATGGACCTACGGATGTGGACATTCGGTCCTATAAACGACGTTAATAAAATTTCGAGGAATGATAATTCGGAATCTCTTTTCTGAGAAATCAGATTTCAGTCTTGGGTATTCTATGGGATAGAACGGATGATAGCCTTTCTATTCATATTAAGCCTGTGCGAAATCTAGACAACCTGTCAAAAGAGAGATTTTGTCCTTAACACAGGGGGATTTTCGATCCGCTAGGGTTCTTAGCTCCTGTATTATTACCGGCTAAGTTATTGATTCAAGAAGTTTGGTCTATTAAAGCAGATTGGGATTCTCCACTGTCAGAAGAGGTCAAACAAAAATATTTTGAAATGGTACTGTGAATTACAGATCTTATCAGATTTGAAAATATCCCGCAGAACAGGATATGGAAACAAACAAACTTGGACTTTGCATGTTTTTTGTGACTCGAGCCAGAGAGCTTACGCGACCGTGATTTTCTTACGCTTGCGAAAACAATGGTGACACATGTGTAAATTTTCTGATCGCAAAATCTCGTGTTGCACCTTTAAAAAAGATGACAATACCACGTCTTGAACTTTTAGCTTGTGTTTTAGGAGTACGTCTAGCGAAGTATGTTGTAGAGGCATTATCCTTAGACGAAATTGAAAAACATTACTGGTCTGATTCCACCACAGCTCTGTCATGGATCAAGCGCAATGATCAATGGGGAACTTTTGTAGGAAATCGTGCCAAGCCAGTTAAATCCAGCTGATATACCATCTCGTGGTTGTACCCCTCATCAAATTCTAAAGAATTCATGGTGGGAGGGTCCTAACTGGTTAAAGAATCCGAAGGATAGTTGGCCACGCCTTGAAATTAAACCCAATGAGGCATTAATTTCTTCCGAAATCAGAAAGAAAACTGTAGTATTAAACGTTAGTGTGAGTACTGATACATCTAAGTGGTATGAAAAATATTCTAAATTTTCAGCAATTGTAAGAATTTTAGCATGGGTTCTAAGATTTATTAGAAGCTGTCAGGCAAAATCTGTAAATAGAACAAAATTCTTGTCTGCAGCCGAGTTAAAAGATTCAAAAAACACTTTGAGTCTACTAGTTCAACGTGAAAGTTTTTCTCAGACTGGATATGTAATAAATGGTCTTTCAGTCGTCAGAGATGAAATAGGACTGATAAGAGTGAAAAAAAAAGATTCTCGCAAGAGATGAATTTGGATTTAAATATCCAATTCTGCTTCCGTCAAAACATCATATTGTGCAAAGTCTAGTGCTCGAATACCATAAAAAGAATTCTCATGCCGGTGTTCAAATGCTCATGTCAATGATTAGAGAAGAATATTGGATTATTTCAGCTAGACAAACAATTAGATCAATAATCAAGAAATGCATTTCACAACAAAGTCACCTTCAACCATACCTATTCATTTACCTTTAGACAGAGTACGGGACGCTCGAACTTTCGAAGTCACCGGAATTGACTTGTGTGGTCCCCTTATTCTTAGGAAAAAGATGACTAAAGCCTGGGTGGTGCTGTTTACATGCGCAGTCTACAGAGCAATACATTTGGAGATCGTGACATCCTTAAGTGCAGATTGCACTCGCGTTGAGAAGATTCATCGCTCGACGAGGCCGTCCGACAATTATCTATAGTGACAACGGCACGAACTTTATCGGTGTCTCTAGTGCATTGAACCAAATTGAGTGGCAAAAGATAGCTGCTCTTGAAACTCTAAATCCAATTAACTGGAAATTCATTCCCCCAACCGCAGCATGGTGGGGCGGTTGGTGGGAGAGACTAATTCGCATAGTGAAAAATATACTTGTTCGAGTTCTTGGTAAGTCGTCGGTTACGTATGAGGAACTCCTCACAGTTCTTTGCGACGCAGAAGCCACCGTTAACAACCGCCCGTTAACATACATCTCCAACGATGCAGATGAGTTGAGGCCTCTAACACCATCCAACTTTCTCCAAGATGTAAAAGAGTTTGGAACGGCTGACCTTGATCATTTGGATAGGAACAAACTGGTAAAGAGAGAACGTTATTGCCAAGAACTGCATGAACAATTCAGACGACGATTCCGGAAAGAATACTTAGGTCAGTTGGTGCAAAACGCTGGCACATCTGACAAAATTTTTAAAGTTGGAGAAGTGGTCCTTGTTGGTTCTGAAAACCAGAAGAGACTTAATTGGTCCACTTTGCAGTAATTGAAGAACTGTATCCAGGGAGAGACGGCCATGTGAGAGTCGTCAAAGTCAAAACTCCACTTGGTCATCTCGTTCGTCCAGTCCAAAAAATTTACCCTCTAGAAGTTAATTCTTCTGGGGATCCCATTATACCAGATCAACATACTACTAATGACCCACCAGCAACATCACAGAATGACATTCCAATTCAGAAGGATGTTTCAGCAGCTCCTCGGACGTCAAGAAGCGGCAGAGTAATCAAGATACCTAAGAGACTGGGCTATTGAACTTTCGAACTTTGTTGATTTACCTCGAAGGTGGCAAATCAAGGTGGGAGGATGTTACGTAATGCCGTCAAAAACTTCGGAAGATATCCACGAGACAGTTTTATGAATAACTTTATTGAATGAACACGAGACTTTTAATGTATTAATGTTTTAATGACGCGAGTTTTATGTATCCTTTTTTTTTTGTGTGGATGGCATCAGTTTTCGGCGTTGCCATGCACGTTCTAATCCGTGTTTGCTTAGTGATAGAAGTGTTCTATGAATTTAATGTTGATATGGAATTGAATTGAGTATATATGTATTTGTGTTCTGTTTATTGAATAATATCCTAGTTCCTGCTTTACTGTGAAACTGTGAAAATACTGATGTCAAATGTTAACAAAGTTGTTTATTCGTCAAGAAACATGTGCAGAATTCAAGTAGATCAGATTTATTTCTTTTTCTATAAATATTGAAATTGTAAACAGATAGTAGACTCTGTCTAATTATTATTAAGGTTTACATACGTATATTAAGAACCTGTGAAGAATAACCGTTGACGGGTAGTCTCGGCGTAGTTCTGATATTTTTTGATAATATATTTTCGCTACAGATATGTTATGAGCAAATCCATAGTTTCTTATCTTATGAAAAGTAATCTTGACAAACTATAACAAATTATTGTGATTTAGCTGTGTAACACTTTGGGAATTTCGTATTGCTGGGCAAAATAATATTGTGCATGGATTAACCTTTCTAAATTTTAATCAGGTTGATTACTATTCATGATGAGTTTGAGGATTAAACTTTTATAATAACCCCTTCCCGTGGTTAACGAGTCTATCTCGTGATGAAGTTTTGTCTCGTGATGAAGCTCCAAACATAAACATCACGATCCAGGCTCGTGAACAGAAAGGCGGGCCAAACATAAACATCACGAGCCGGGCTCGTGAACATTAACATCGTAATTTCACGATCGTAAGTTTCTATCAGTAGACCACAAGAGTTAGTCACGATTCTTCATTATATAAATTATATAACGTTTATTAAAATTATATATTAAAATATAATATATTTATAATATCTGCAAAGGGCAGAAAGATTAAAGTTTACTTATTTGAAGTATTATTTATTTATGAAATATAATTTTGAAACTGCTATTTATTAAAAATATAATATATTTATAATATCTACGAAATGCGAAAGAATTAAAGTTTAATTCCACGCCAACAGTATCGTGCAAGTACAACACAGACATTTAATTACGTTTTGACTCGTATTGTGACTGTTCTCAAGCATCAGTCTGGCTTGTTTACCACGCTTTGACCCTTAACATTTGGGCCCAAGTCTCATCGAGGTAAATGGCACGGGAATGGGTTCATTAGCCGCTGGTGTCCGTTGCTCTGGATAATCACCTTTAACTCCATACTACAACATGAATGGCCTTTGCACACAGATATCATAGCATACGCCGACGATGTAGCCCTTCTGGTGTCTGGCCGCACAAGAGATGAACTGGAACGGAATGCCACAGAAACCTGCTCGATATTCACGGACCTATGCAATAAACTTAAGTTAATCATCTCTTGACAAAAGTCCGCAGCCATCGTAATTCCACGTCCTGGCACAAATCCCACACAAGACGTCCATGTATAAAGCTACTGGGCAAGAACTTAAAAATAACGAAGACGATTAAATATCTAGGAGTCACTTGGGATCAAAGACTCACCTAGTTACCGCACCTCCAAGAAATACGTACAAAAAGTACGTACAAAAACATCGACCATCGCAAGGAAAGCCAGGCAATTTCAAGGGAGAAATTGGGGACAAAACCCCCATATCAGGAAACTATTATATCTGACAGTGGCAGAGAGAATAATTCTCTACGCAGCAGTCATATGGGCACAACCAATGAGCAGCCGAAAGACCAAGCTACTGACCACAATTCAACGGCCGTTTGCATTAAACATCTGCGGAGGTTATCGCACAACAGCGTCCAGCGCCGCCACGATACTTGCAGGCCTGCTGCCATTACACATAAAGGCAGAGGCAGAGGCTACCTATGTACGAATCACCCATCACAGACAAGAAGCCACATATGCAGGAATTACGTTCAGAACAACAGACTATGAACTCCCTGGCAGTGTGCAACACATCCACCCTGCCATCAAAGGTAGAGGGATCCATGTCAAAATCCAACATCAGCAATCGCACTCCAGACAACGCACTTCCTCTGCGATTACACAACTGTTCACTGATGGATCAAAACATGATCAGGGAGTGGGCTGCGCGTTTGCTCACTACGAACATGGCACACTAGTAAAAGGAATGGAAAGGACATCTCACTAACAGCAATAGTATCTTCCAAGCAGAGGCACTAGCAATATTGAATGCGCTACGACATGCCCTCAACCTTTCCCTTACCAATGCGACTTTTTACACGATAGCATGTCAGTGCTACACGCACTCAGGGATCATCACCACACTTCACCCATCATCATAGATATACAGCAACTTTTACGCAATAATCATCAAGCCCGCTTTAACATGGTATGGGTGAAAGGACACTCCGACAACGAAGGGAATGACGTCGCAGACCGACTGGCTAATGAGGCTGCCAACAACATCCACGCTCAAAACTATAAGAGCCCCTACCCCCGTCTCACACCTCAAGAAAACTCTGCGTAATATCTGTAAAGAAAAGTGGCAAGAAGAATGGAATAGTTTGCGACACAGGGAGAAGGACGTATAACTTCCTACCAAAGGTAGACACGGAACGTCTTATAACAATAGCCCCACTGACACAGTACATAACGGGTCATGGCCCATTTCCATCTTTTATTTTATGCGTCATGGCATCTCAACATCTGACAATTGTGTCTGTGGCATGCTAGGTTCTCCCGAGCACTACCTATTTGACTGCGGTCTAACAACAAACCACCACTTACCACATCCAACGAATGATAGAACACTTTACTATCGTTTCATAATCAAACACCCGCCAGCTATAAGGAGAATCTGCGCAGTTGTACAGCAAATCAACGCCCTAGGGCAAGACATTTGCGAGCCACAGTAGCATGGTACTGCAGACAATGTACTCAACGATTAGATATTCGCAGTATGTACACATTCTGTAATACACATTCCACATTCAATTTCGAGCCTCGTGTTAACATCTGCTTTCAATAGCCACCAACTTGCAGAATAATGTTACTGACATGTTTATCAGTGTAAAGCACTGGGCACCCAATGGAATGATGTGTTATCGTAAATCGAAATATATAATATCCGTACAATGCACGAATGTAGTGTATGCAACGAAATATGTAATTCATGCAACAGAAACCCCTAATGAAAGTATGTACATTATGTATTATGTGAACTGAGCATATTTCCGCACAGCGCTACTGCTTTACGCACGCCTTACTATGTCTCATATGTTTCTTCTGTGTGTAATATTTGCATTTATGTGCTCTACGTGTTTCCATATGTATTCAATGTGTCATGATATGTATTCTCGTGTGTGTTTTTATGTCTTTATGTTACGTAATTACGGGTCTCTACGTGTTTCCATATGTATTCAATGTGTCATGATATGTATTCTCGTGTGTGTTTTTATGTCTTTATGTTACGTAATTACGGGTGTGTTTTTATGCTTTTAAGTTTAATTTTGTATATCTATGTGTTTCATCTTATATGAGTGTTTTAGTGTTTTAATGCTATCCTTTATATTCTTTTTTAAGTTACTTTGTGTTATTAACAACGTCCTATGTAAAAACTACCCGACATCTAGCACCTGTATGGCCATGTAAACTCCCGGCGCAGCCTCACGGGGCTCCAGCGAGTTGCTTCTTCGAGATAGTGGAGGACGTGGGACATATGCCTGTTTACCTATGTTATACGCCAGGCGTCCCCGTCCTCCGTCACCTGTCACCTGCTTTAAGTTGTAAGGTATATTTTAATTTTATAACAGTTATTTTCAGTTTATGCATCTTTCCTCTCTCTTCCAGCTTCAGCTTACAACTAACTCCCTATCAGAATAATTTTTAGAATCGCGTTAAATGCAAATGTTAAGTAGAACAGCATTTAAATCAAGTTCCACTGAGCCACAAAGAGGATTCCTAAATAGAGCGCGTGTGCCTTTGGGCTGCGTCTCTCTCAGCTGTTATTACGCTCTGCCATATTACGTGCCTTTTGATAGCTTCCCTGGCTAATTTAATATTACGGGCCAACTAAGTAAGAGTTTTGTTAGCTTCAGCTCAATCTGTTTACTTAGTCATTAGTTCTTATTTCTTACATTTTCAGTTTAAGCCCAAGTGGAGGCTCTGTTGTACGCCCTGAGAAAGGGGCTGACTGTTATATCTTTATTTGGAGCAAATAAAGGCTAATTAACCCTTCGTAGGTTCGCGTTTCTGTTCTTGAACTTAAGCGATTGTTCACTTAGCAGTTAACTAGGTTCCTCGACACTTACTTTAATATAATAAAAATGAAGAACTCTATAAACTTTATTCGGTGTTTTATATTTTTATATATATCTCAATTTTTAGTAAAAATATTTCGAGGTTTCATGTATTTTTGCCTTGTCGCGAAGTGAGAACTGAATTAATTGAATGAGAAATATATCTCTAATGAAATTCGAGGAAATAAGCTTAAATGAAATGCAGCAAAAGTGCGTATAATTTAATATTCGTACAAGAAAACCATGTGGTCTACACATTTTTTTAAATATCATTGCTTGAATTATTTCATAAATAC